CCCATAGCGACCCTGTACAGGGTTTCCGAGGGTGTAAATCTTTACGGGAGTAGAAAGCCTCATCTTTCTCCCGCGGAGCGGCTGGTAGTTTCGAATGAATGATAGGGCCCTAAAATACATGAAACAAATTCTAACAATGAGAAAGATACTCAACAAACATGTGGTGGTAGTGGCGGTGGTGTGGCGTGAAGTCAATTCTGACTCACAGCAACCCTGTACAGGGTTCCCGGGGATCTAAATGCCACAATCAATCAACTCAACCTCAAAAATGTACACAAAACACTCCACCCAACAGCGGCAAGGTTTATATTCTTTTCTAATGCACATGGGTCATTTTCTACAATTACAGCCTCAATAAAACCTAAGACATCAAAATAATACAAAGCAGTTTCTTTGATCATAATGCTATATAAGTAGAAATCCACAACTTGTTTTAAAACCACTGGGCAACAGAAGTCAAAGATGAAGCCGAAAGCAAAAAAAAAAATCTAGAATCAAGTAAGAATCAAGACACCACATACCAAAAGCTTTGGGACACAGCAAAAGTAGTGCTCACAGGTCAATTTACAGCAAGAAACACACACTGAAAGAAGGTCCAGAATCACAACATGACCCTTACAACTGGAACATACAGAATAGCAAAAGAAGTCCACTGTCACATGCAGAAAGGAAGTAACAAAAACAGAACAGAAAAACAACTGAATCTACAAGACCAAAAGCTGGTTCAAAAAACACAGATAAAATTGACAAACCACAGGCTAAACTGACAAAACATGAAGTAGGAGGAGAAGCAAGTCACCTAAATAAGAAATGAGGTGGCGGTGGGTTTGGTTTGGCCCAAGGAACACTGTTAAGCATGAAGTTGTAAGTATGTGTTGTAATGCCTTGTTTTGTTGGTCTTGTTAAGTGCTGTCCAGTCAGTTCTGACTCATAGTGACCCTGTATAGAGTTTCTGAGGAGCAGGTGGTGTGTTTGAACCACCAACTTTGTGGTTCAAATTGACCTTGCAGTCCAGCACATTAACCCAGAGTGCTACACCAGGAATCCTAACTCCATGCTAAGAGAAATGCATATTGTTGTAAACTGCCACAGGGCCATGTGGTAGCCTCTTTCTCATTCTTTTCAATGTGTGCATAGTATTCGACTGTTGGATGTTCCCTCACTTATTTGACCAGTCCTTGTTAATGGATACCCAAGTTGCCTATACTATGAATTAAAAAAGGTAATCAGACAGTATCGTGAGAGTTTTTAAGCACTCAACTTACGTAACTACCAGTGCAATTTGTGGGCCCCAATACATACACAGCTTTAAATGTGATGTGCTTATCAAAATGTTCACTATAGCCTGGTTTCCAGTTTCTCCCCGAGGCAGACAATTTGGATACTCATTAACAAGGTGTAACTCCACTGCCTTTGAATCAACTCTGACTCCAAACAACCTAATAGCACAGGGACTAGGCAAATAAAAGAGGAAGAATCCAACAAGGCAATCATTGAGAAGGCTGAGGTAGAGAGGTGTACTCATTGAAAATGCCAGGCACAGACAAGTACCACACACTCTAGCTCGCTCACTCACACACACTCTCTCTCTCTCTCTCTCTTTCACACACACACACACACACACACACACACACACACACTCAGAGTACATGTTCACAGTAATTACCTCTGGGGAACATCACTGGGGATGGGGTGGTGAGTAGGTGGACAGATTTGCTTCCTTTTCACAGGATAGTGAAAACTGTGAAAAGCCAGACCAGTGTAAGGCAGAATCCTGCCAGAAAAAAAAAGAGGGGAAACTCAAAAGATTTTTCAGTAAGAGAGAGCAACAGAAAGACCGCAACCTATCAAAGGCGGAGAATCTGAGAGACCTGGAAAAATAAGGCAGCCCCATTGGGGTCTGGCTTTCACAGGTCTCACTATATACCCTTTTAAAAAATGTTTTATTGTGAATTATGTGATAGTTTAGATGGGAGAACATTAGCTTTACATTCATCCTATCGGACATCGTTTCATTGTCATGGTTACAATCTCCTCCACGCCTCATCAACCAACCAAAGGCTATACCCTGTAAGCCTGCCCCCATGTTGTCAGCACACAGCCCCTCTCCCTCTCTGGGTCTAAAGTCCCCAGCCGCTACATCTCTACACATTACTGTCTCTGCCTCCATCTCTGGCGTCATTGCTTCTCTGGGTAGGGTCCCGCTCTCTGCTCTTCTCCCTTGATGGTCCCAGGG